CGTTTTCTGAACAAAGTATTTCAACAAATGGTCTCTGCACCCTTAGGGTCCAAGCACATCTTCGTTCAATGAACAGCCTTGACAGCCCAACATGAAAACAGCTCTCGGCACAATCTTTCAGTCGCTTCCCAACTTTGGAACCACAGGTGCTGAACCTAGTTTGAGAAACACAACTTCACTACACTCGTCCCAGGTGGGTAGAAAAGTCTTAGCTGCAGTTCAGAACCCCGAAATCAGCTTGCTGTGGGGTCACTTCTGACTCCTGGCTATACACCCCACAGGAAGGAGGCTGGCACTTGCCATACCACGGAAGGGGCTTGTCTGGGAGTGTAACTTGGAGGGAATGGTGAGGGAGCGGTGGAGGTTATTTTACTACTTACACATACTAATTTAAAGGCAACTCTCTTCATTCAACACTCCAGGGGCCTTTGAGAGTCTTGTATGGGAATGAAAAGCAGGACTCTTCTCTCTTCTACTGGCTACAGTGGGTCCCTGGGCAGGACAAATGGGCTGGTGGCGCTGACCCTGCAGAGGTGCCCTTGATCTGCTTCTGTCAAGTCATAGTCCAGAACACTCAGGGGCAGTTCTACTCTGCGCATACTGGGTCAACAGAGACTTGATGGCAACTACAATGCCCTGGCCACAGTATTTCAACGTAGAGAGCAAGGTGGGGAGCTCCGGTGACACGATGGAACCACAGTGTCCCAGTGAATCTGGTAGCCATGCCAGGTAGATAGCTGAATTTGAAGAAATCTTCCCAGACTGTTTACAGCAGCCTTTCAATCTGCTTTACTCTGTTCCTGCTAACCTCAAACCATCTTAGATAAAGGCGTTCAAAGGTATTTAGTTATGTGCTCATAAATGACTGAGCATATGATCTGACCGAGAAACAAATCAGTAATGATCAGTCTTCCACAGAGTGGAAGGAGGGCAAAGCGCATCATAGAGTCCCCTTGGTTACTTCCCCACTCAGAATGTCCGTGACTTTGAATTAAAGGGCACCCCTTGCCTGGCCACTCTGTACATACCGGTGAAGAAAGGGGATGCCAGCCTGCAACGGGCCAAAGAGGCCTTTCCAGAAACACGCTGCACACTTACCCCAGGGAGGCGCGGATATTCAGGCATAGGTTTTCCTACACTTGAATTTTCTCATTTTCACAAAACAAGAAAGAAAGACAAATTATCGTGCAAAACAGGAGCAGCAATTTTGCAGCCACAACATCAAAATAGGAAGTTAGCCAGGAGACACTGTGCAGCCAAGCTGGATCCCGAAACAACAGAAAGTCTCTTTTGAACAAAGAAAAATGCCTTGCTTCTGTTGAAAAAAAAAAAGAGGCTGTAATTGGCAAAATTTGCTCCTCAAAGCTTGCCCCAAAGTTCAGTGTTTTAACTTCCTATTTATTCCTAATAGCTAGTGTGCAAGCCCAAGAGAAGGTAACTATTTGTTCATCAATGCAAATGGACTTTGTTGGGGGGAGGGGGGGGCGCGAGTCCTCTTTTCAACCCTATTTTCTCCTAACCTTTCTTCAGTGTTTTCTACAGAAAATCCATACTGCCTGGCTTCTATTCTTATGGAAGTTTCAAGATTTAAAAACCTAATTTACATTTGACTTTGTACTCCAGAGAATACACAATCACACATCACTGACGGAGGTGACTCTGGTTAACATTGTAGCTTCTTCCTTTTCTGCTCTCATGGTTTTAATGTTAATCTCAAAAGAATATGTCTAACACATGTATAGCTAAAACCCTAAAATATCAAGAACCACAACACAAGGACTTCACTTTATTAGTTTTAGTATAGGTGTGACTTTGGAGCCCTAGGTCTGTGGCTTACTTCCTGTGTGACCTTGAGCAAGCTCCTCCACCACTTTAAACACCAGCAGCTGCCTATCTGTCAGAAGGGCTAGGGCTGCTCCTGCACAGAACTGGCTTCCAAGGTTAAATGAGCAACTCAGAACCCCGAGTAAGGCAGCCCAGCACAGTTAGCCACACACTACATCTACGGTCATGTCTCTTTAAGCTCCCTGTCATCACAGCATTTCTGACTCCTATGGGACTGGGAAGAACGGCACCTGTGGGTGCCCTGGAAACAAATCAGTAACAACCTGCCATGGTAACACTTTCCAGGAGTAGAAAGCCTCCTCTTTCTCCTTCATGGTGATCTCCAACTGCTGACTTCGTGGTTAGCAGGCCAACACATAACCCACTACGCCACCACAGCTCCGACCGCACAGAAAGATGTCGGGAAATGTATTTCCCTACTTCAAACTCTCAGGAATACCTGAAACTTAATTCTTCTCAGAGAAAGAGGAATCTACAAAGTACTGCAAAAGATTTACTCAGGAACCCACCTTGTGTAAGAAGGAACTGATTAGTCCATGGAGAGACTAATCAAATCTATTAACTATCAAAAAGCTATGAGTCCTCATGGGGAGCGAACAGTTCTGTGCTCTGCTACCAGTCAAAGATCAGTGGGGTCCCATCCAGATGTGCCTCAGAAAAAAGGCTTGGACGCCTGCCTCTGAAAGACCACAAGCAATGGAAGCCCCAGGGCTTGCAGCTCTAACCTCCAGGAGGACACAAGGAGTTGAGTCAAGTCAACTGCAACTGGTTTGGTTTTTTGTTTTGCACTTCAAAGCAATACAAATGAATAAACATTACAGTATTGCTTTTGAAAATGTTAATTGACCTGTACTTGGTTCAAGTTAATAACTTTGGGGGAGGCGGATTTATGCATGTCCCTGAAGCCCAATTATGATGCATATATACATCAGCAATAAAACTCCTAAACCTAAAAATGCCCTATTATTATTACATATTGTATAATACCATTCAGATATATAAACAGGTGGAACCATTTCCCCAAGGTTGGCAAAGGGAGCCAGAGACTGCTACTTGGGTTACTGCCCTCAGGTACTAACTCCAGGAAGAACTCCAGGTGCCCAAGGGCGTGGGCTCCCATCCCCAGGGGTTTTATAGTCCAGGTGACCAAGCACATAAAAAACTCCTCGGGTTTTCACAAATCAGACCAGAAGCTATGGGCGTGGCTACTTTAAAAAGCCAAAACCTCACTGCCATCAAGTGGATTCCGACTCTTAGAGACCCTACAGGACAGGTAGAACGGCCCCCCGCCCACCACCCGCCCCC